TCACTGTCGGCAGTGGCAGAACATGCTTGTCAACAAGGACACTCAATTGATTTTGACAATGTTGCAGTGGTGTGTAAAACTAATTATTACTGGCAAAGACTAATTAGAGAATCCATTGAAATTGAGAGGAACAAGAATAACTTTAACCGCTCTGACAGCTACAGGCTTAGTGCGGCCTGGAAGCGTATTATTAAATAATACACATTACATTTTGATTTAAAGAATTACTAATCTACAACTCATTACTAATCATAACCAATGACTGATTACTAATCGATTATATAATTACAATACCCCCCTCCGCCTCTAATCACTGCACCTGATATGAGTTAAGTGATGACGTCACCCTGCTGCTCTATATAAAACCGGGAGCAAGCGAGGGCTTTACCATTCTGGCGAATTGCCCGATGATGCTGGATGTATTTACCAGCGAAACGTCGTACTCAAACTGTAAAAAGTACTCAAACTGTAAATGTGGATTAACTCTTCAACACACCGGTGGGCTGAAGTAGTGAATTGTCTTTTGTCAACGTGACACTTTTTTTTGCTGATTGGCCGTGTCGGGTGGTGGAGGGTTACGACACATTCATAAATAAATGCGATCTAACCCAAAAACCTTTATTATGAATAATATTGGTCGCGAAAGCCTACATGTTAAACAGTGTATATAATGTATAATGTAGTGTATAATGTAATGTAGCAGTGTATAATATATAGTGTAGTGTATAATGTATAGTGTATAATGTAGTATATAATGTATAGTGTATAGTGCATATGATGTAGTGTATATAATGTAGTATATAATGTATATTGTAGTGTATAGTTTAGTGTATAGTGTATAATGTAGTAGTGTATAGTGTATATATAATGTAGTGTATAGTGTATAATGTAGTGTATAATGTAGTGTATAATATAGTGTATATAATGTCTAATGTATAGTGTATAATGTAGTGTATAATGTAGTGTATAGTGTGTATAATATACAGTGTATAATATATAATGTAGTATATAATGTATAGTAGTGTATAGTGTGTATAATGTATAATATATAATGTAGTATATAATGTATAGTAGTGTATAATGTATAGTGTATATAATGTAGTGTATATAATGTAGTATATAATGTATATTGTAGTGTATAATGTAGTGTATAATATAGTGTATATAATGTATAGTTTGTATAATGTAGTGTATAATGTAGTGTATAGTGTGTATAATGTATAATGTAGTAAATAATGTATAGTAGTGTGTAATGTATAGTGTGTATAATGTATAGTGTATAATGTATAGTGTATAATGTATAATATATAATGTAGTATATAATGTAGTAGTGTATAATGTATAGTGTATATAATGTATAAAATACAATGTAGTGTATAATGTATAGTAGTGTACAATGTATAGTGTATAATATATAATGTAGTATATAATGTATAGTAGTGTGTAGTGTGTATAATGTATAATATATAATGTAGTGTATAATGTATAGTAGTGTATAATGTATAGTGTATAATATACAATGTAGTATATAATGTATAATATATAATGTAGTATAAATTGTATAGTAGTGTGTAGTGTGTATAATGTATAATATATAATGTAGTATATAATGTATAGTAGTGTATAATGTATAGTAGTGTGCAGTGTGTATAATGTATAGTGTATAATGTATAATATATAGTGTAGTATATAATGTAGTGTAGTGTGCAGTGTATAATATACAATGTAGTATATAATGTATAATATATAATGTAGTATATAATGTATAGTAGTGTGTAGTGTATAGTGTGCATAATGTATAGTGTATAATGTATAATGTAGTGTATAATGTATAGTAGTGTGTAGTGTATATAATGTATAATATATAATGTAGTATATAATATATAATGTAGTATATAATGTATAGTAGTGTATAATGTATAGTGTATAATGTATAGTGTAGTATATAATGTATAATATATAATGTAGTGTATAATGTATAGTAGTGTGTAGTGTATATAATGTATAATGTAGTATATAATGTATAGTAGTGTGTAGTGTATATAATGTATAGAATATAATGTAGTATATAATGTATAGTAGTGTGTAGTGTATATAATGTAGTATATAATGTATAGTAGTGTGTAGTGTATATAGTATATAATGTAGTGTATAATGTATAGTAGTGTATAATGTATAGTAGTGTGCAGTGTATATAATGTATAATGTAGTATATAATGTATAATATATAATGTATAATATATCATGTAGTGTATAATGTATAGTAGTGTATAATGTATAGTGTATAATATACAATGTAGTATATAATGTATAGTATATAATGTAGTATATAATGTATAGTAGTGTGCAGTGTGTATAATGTAGTATATAATGTAGTGTATAATGTATAGTAGTGTATAATGTATAGTGTATAGTATATAATGTAGTATATAATGTATAGTATATAGTGTAGTATATAATGTAGTATATAATGTATAGTATATAATGTAGTATATAATGTAGTATATAATGTATAGTAGTGTGCAGTGTGTATAATGTAGTATATAATGTAGTGTATAATGTATAGTAGTGTATAATGTATAGTAGTGTGCAGTGTATATAATGTATAATGTAGTATATAATGTATAATATACAATGTAGTGTATAATGTATAGTGTATAATATACAATGTAGTATATAATGTAGTATATAATGTATAGTATATAATGTAGTATATAATGTATAGTATATAATGTAGTATATAATGTATAGTATATAGTGTAGTATATAATGTATAGTAGTGTGCAGTGTATATAATGTATAATGTAGTATATAATGTATAATATATAATATATAATGTAGTGTATAATGTATAGTAGTGTATAATGTATAATATACAATGTAGTATATAATGTATAATATATAACATAGTATATAATGTAGTATATAATGTATAGTATATAATGTAGTATATAATGTATAGTAGTGTGCAGTGTGTATAATGTAGTATATAATGTAGTGTATAAAGTATAGTAGTGTATAATGTATAGTGTATAGTATATGATGTAGTATATAATGTATAGTATATAGTGTAGTATATAATGTAGTGTATAGTGTATAGTAGTGTGTAGTGTATATAATGTATAGTATATAATGTAGTGTATAGTAGTGTGTAGTGTATATAATATATAATGTATAATATATAATGTAGTGTATAGTGTATAATGTAGTATATAATGTATAATATCTAATGTATAATATATAATGTAGTGTATAGTGTATAGTATATAATGTAGTATATAATGTATAATATCTAATGTATAATATATAATGTAGTGTATAATGTATAGTAGTGTGTAGTGTATATAATGTATAATATATAATGTAGTATATAATGTATAATATATAATGTAGTATATAATGTATAGTAGTGTGTAGTGTATATAATGTATAATATATAATGTGTAATATATAATGTGTAATATATAATGTACAGTATGTAGTGTAGTATATAATGTAGTGTATAATGTATAGTAGTGTACAATGTATAGTGTATAATATATAATGTAGTATATAATGTATAGTAGTGTGTAGTGTATATAATGTATAATATATAATGTGTAATATATAATGTGTAATATATAATGTACAGTATGTAGTGTAGTATATAATGTAGTGTATAGTAGTGTGTAGTGTATATAATATATAGTGTATAATAAATAATGTAGTGTATAGTGTATAGTAGTGTGTAGTGTATAGTGTGTATAATGTATAGTGTATAGTATATAATGTAGTGTATAGTAGTGTGTAGTGTATATAATATATAATGTGTAATATATAATGTACAGTATGTAGTGTAGTATATAATGTAGTGTATAGTGTATAGTGCAGTGTGCAGTGTGCCTGTTCGTAGAGGAAGTAGGTGGCCCCAGGGCCCGTGAGCTCCGAGCCGGCGAGCGTCTGGTCGGTGGCTGCACAGTCCGAGGGGCAGCTGCCAAACGCCGTGACAAACGCAGGGTCCAGGGAGCTCACGCCGGGCTGCCGGGGGGGCGGGGGGAGGGGCGGGGGAGGCAGGGGCGGGGGGGGGCGGGGTCAAGGGTCGGCCGAAGGGTCTCACCGGGGACACGGAGGCCGCGTCGCAGAGCCTGGCGGAGGCAGTGGTGGTGGTGGTCGTGGTGGTGGTGATGATGATGGTGGTGGTGGTGATGGTGGTGGTGGTGGTGATGGTGGTGGTGGTGGTGATGGTGGTGGTGGTGGTGATGGTGGTGGTGGTGGTGATGGTGGTGGTGATGGTGGTGATGGTGGTGATGGTGGTGGTGGTGGTGATGGTGGTGGTGGTGGTGATGGTGGTGGTGATGGTGGTGATGGTGGTGATGGTGGTGATGGTGGTGGTGGTCGTGGTGGTGGTGATGATGATGGTGGTGGTGGTGATGGTGGTGGTGGTGGTGATGGTGGTGGTGGTGGTGATGGTGGTGATGGTGGTGGTGGTGATGGTGGTGGTGATGGCGGTGATGGCGGTGATGGTGGTGGTGGTCGTGGTGGTGGTCGTGGTGGTGGTCGTGGTGGTCGTGGTGGTGGTGGTGGTGATGGTGGTGGTGATGATGGTGGTCGTAGTGGTGGTCGTGATGATGATGGTGGTGGTGTTGGTGGTGATGATGGTGGTGATGATGGTGGTCGTGGTGGTGATGGTGGTGGTCGTGGTCGTGATGATGATGGTGGTCGTGGTGGTGATGGTGGTGGTCGTGGTGGTGGTGATGGTGGTGGTGGTCGTGGTGGTGGTGGTCGTGGTGGCCTTGATGGTGGTCGTGATGGTGATAGAATATCGTTATCGTCATCAATGTCACACAAGTCTAGCAAGTTGGCAGTCGATACCACATTGGCAAGTGGGTTCAAATTGAGTTACAAGATTTGAGGACACAACAACAACAACAACGACGACAGACAGAATAGTGAGTTCAATGAAAAGCGCAGCCGTGTGAACCTTTTCTACCTGAGGCATCGTCGGGGCTCGGAGTCTTGCCCCCTCGCCCCTCGCTCGTCGCTCCTGCTGCTGCTCCCGCTGTCTGTTTTCCAAGTCCAGCTTCTCCGACGGCAGCCGATGGGTGTCACAGTGTGGCAGGGGGGGGTGGTGGTGGTGGTGGTGATGATGGTGATGGTGGTGATGGTGGTGATGATGGTGTAGGGGGGAGGGTGCCCACAGAGGGGAGGGGACACCGGTGGAAGGCGACCTGCGAGAGAGGAGATTGAAGAGCGGAGATGAGGTCGCCGTCAGCCAGGGTCCATTCACTGCTGGATTAAGGCCTCCTCCAGCCTACACCATCAACACCGTCAGCCAGGCTCTATCCACTGCTGGATTAAGGCCTCCTCCAGCCTACACCATCAACACTAACATCACCGTCAGCCAGGGTCCATCCACTGCTGGATTAAGGCCTAGGCCATCAACGCCAAAGTCGCCGTCAGCCAGGGTCTATCCACTGCTGGATTAAGGCCTCCTCCAGCCTAGGCCATCAACACCAACGTCACCGTCAGCCAGGGTCCATCCACTGCTGGATTAAGGCCTAGGCCATCAACGCCAAAGTCGCCGTCAGCCAGGGTCTATCCACTGCTGGATTAAGGCCTCCTCCAGCCTAGGCCATCAGCACCAACGTCACCGTCAGCCAGGGTCTATCCACTGCTGGATTAAGGCCTAGACCATCAACACCAACATCACCGTCAGCCAGGGTCCATCCACTGCTGGATTAAGGCCTAGGCCATCAACGCCAAAGTCGCCGTCAGCCAGGGTCTATCCCCTGCTGGATTAAGGCCTCCTCGAGCCTACACCATCAACACCAACGTCAGCCAGGGTCCATCCACTGCTGGATTAAGGCCTAGGCCATCAACACCAACGTCACCGTCAGCCAGGGTCTATCCACTGCTCACCACCAACCCTAACATCACCACCACCATCACCTCCATCACCACCATCCCTAAACATCACCACCACCATCACCTCCATCACCACCCTCACCACCATCCCTAATATCACCACCACCATCACCACCCTCACCACCATCCCCTATCACCATCACCACCCTCACCACCATCCCTAACATCACCACCATCACCTCCATCACCACCCTCACCACCATCCCTATCACCATCACCACCCTCACCACCATCCCTATCACCATCACCACGCTCACCACTATCCCTATCACCATCACCACCATCGCTTATCACCATCACCACCCTCACCACCATCCCTATCACCATCACCACCACCATCACCTCCATCACCACCCTTACCACCATCCCTATCACCATCACCACCCTCACCACCATCGCTTATCGCCCAACATCCCCTTCACCATCGAGTTTCTGGCTGCAAGTTGCAGATGCCTCAAGAGATATTGTTGCTATTGCAACACAGCGTTTAAAACATTACATTTACTTGACGTGAAGAAGCTTGTGTGACTGCAGGAATCCATACTCTTTGATTATTTCGGTAAAGTCACGTGGGTAGAACCACTCACCACTCCTCACCACCATCACCACGCTCACCACCATCACTCACCACCATCCGCTACCACCACTCACCACCGCTTAACACCATCACCACGCTCACCACCATCCCTAACATCACCACCACCATCACCACCCTCACCACCATCCCCTATCACCATCACCACCCTCACCACTATCCCTAACATCACCACCACCATCACCTCCATCACCACCATCCCTAACATCACCACCACCATCACCTCCATCACCACCATCCCTAACATCACCACCATCACCTCCATCACCACCCTCACCACCATCCCTATCACCATCACCACCCTCACCACCATCGCTTATCACCATCACCACCCTCACCACCATCCCTATCACCATCACCACCACCTCCATCACCACCCTCACCACCATCGCTTATCACCCTCACCACCATCCCTATCACCATCACCACCACCACCACCCTTACCACCATCCCTAACTTCACCACCACCACCATCATCACCATCACCACCCTCACCACCATCCCCTATCACCATCACCACCCTCACCACCATCCCTAACATCACCACCATCATCACCTCCATCACCACCCTCACCACCATCCCTATCACCATCACCACCCTCACCACCATCGCTTATCACCATCACCACCCTTACCACCATCCCTATCACCATCACCACCACCATCACCTCCATCACCACCCTTACCACCATCCCTATCACCATCACTACCCTCACCACCCTCACCACCATCGCTTATCGCCCAACATCCCCTTCACCACCGAGTTTCTGGCTGCAAGTTGCAGATGCCTCAAGAGATATTGTTGCTATTGCAACACAGCGTTTAAAACATTACATTTACTTGATGTGAAGAAGCTTGTGTGACTGCAGGCATCCATACTCTTTGATCATTTCGGTAAAGTCACGTGGGTAGAACCACTCACCACTCCTCACCACCATCACCACGCTCACCACCATCACTCACCACCCCTCACCTCCATCACCACGCTCACCACCATCACTCACCACCATCCCCTATCACCACCACCACCACTCACCACAGCTTAGCACCACCATCACTCACCACCATCCTCTATCACCACCACCACTCACTACCGCTTACCTCCATCACCACGCTCACCACCATCACTCACCACCATCCCCTATCACTCACCACCACTCACCACCATCACTACCCTCACCACCATCCCTAACATCACCACCACCACTCGCCATGCCTCACCTCCCTCACCACCATCCCTAACATCACCACCACCATCACCTCCATCACCACCCTCACCACTCACCACCATCACCACCATCCCTAACATCACCACCATCACCTCCATCACCACCCTCACCACCATCCCTAACATCACCACCACCATCACCTCCATCACTACCCTCACCACCATCCCCTATCACCATCACCTCCATCACCACCCTCACCACCATCCCTATCACCATCACCACCCTCACCACCATCGCTTATCACCATCACCACCCTCACCACTATCCCTATCACCATCACCACCACCATCACCTCCATCACCACCCTCACCACCATCCCTATCACCATCACCACCCTTACCACCCTCACCACCATCCCCTATCACCATCACCACCCTCACCACCATCGCTTATCGCCCAACATCCCCTTCACCACCGAGTTTCTGGCTGCAAGTTGCAGATGCCTCAAGAGATATTGTTGCTATTGCAACACAGCGTTTAAAACATTACATTTACTTGACGTGAAGAAGCTTGTGTGACTGCAGGCATCCATACTCTTTGATTATTTCGGTAAAGTCACGTGGGTAGAACCACTCACCACTCCTCACCACCATCACTCACCACCACCACTCACCACCGCTTAGCACCATCACCACGCTCACCACCATCACCTATCACCACCACCACTCACCACAGCTTAGCACCATCACCACGCTCACCACCACCATCACTCACCACCATCCTCTATCACCACCACCACCACCACTCACTACCGCTTACCTCCATCACCACGCTCACCACCATCACTCACCACCATCCCCTATCACTCACCACCACTCACCACCATCCCTACCATCACCACCACCACCACTCACCACCATCACCACCATCCCCTATCACCATCACCACCACCATCATCTCCATCACCACCCTCACCACCATCCCCTATCACCATCACCTCCATCACCACCCTCACCACCATCCCTAACATCACCACCACCATCACCTCCATCACCACCCTCACCACCATCACCTCCATCACCACCCTCACCACCATCCCTAACATCACCACCACCATCACCACCCTCACCACCATCCCTAACATCACCACCACCACCACTCACCACCACCACTCACCACCGCTCACCTCCATCACTCACCACCCTCACCACCATCACCACCCTCACCACCATCCCTAACATCACCACCATCCCTAACATCATCACCACCATCACCTCCATCACCACCCTCACCACCATCACCACCCTCACCACCATCCCTAACATCACCACCACCATCACCTCCATCACAACCCTCACCACCATCCCTAACATCACCACCATCCCTAACATCACCACCACCATCACCACCCTCACCACCATCCCTAACATCACCACCACCACCACTCACCACCACTCACCACCACCGCTCACCTCCATCACTCACCACCATCACCGCCATCCCTAACATCATATTGTGGTTTAATCAAGACAAGGTTCCTCGTAAAAGGTGTCAGTTCGGTGTTTAAACATCTCAACACAGCTGTGTTTTGTCGGCAGAAAAAAATGGGGAAACCTCATAACATTAAATCCCCTTAAGAGTTTAAAGAATGCGGGAGCGATTTTTATTTATATAGCGGGGAGGGGAGGGAGGGGGTCGTGTTTACATGGGGGGTGGGGGCCCGCGAGCCGCGCTGCTATTGGTCGGCGCCCCCTCCCCACGTGACCCGATCCCGGGCTCACGTGGCGAGGAACGTCAACACGGGCGGGGGGCGGGGCCAAGGGAGGGTTGATGGGGCGGGGCCAGGGGCGATGGGGCGGGTCGATAGGGCGGGGCCAGGAGCGATGGGGCGGGGCCAGAGGGCGATGGGGCGGGGCCAGGGGGCGATGGGGCGGGGCCAGGGGGCGATGGGGCGGGGCCAGGAGGCCTTTAGAATCACAGCAACGACAAGAGACGTGAACAAATATAAACTAAAGTAAACAAATATAAACAAATATAAACTAAAGTAAACAAATATAAACTAAAGTAAACAAATATAAACAAATATAAACTAAAGTAAACAAATATAAACTAATATAAACAAATATAAACTAAAGTAAACAAAGATAAACAAATATAAACTAAAGTAAACAAATATAAACTAAAGTAAACAAATATAAACAAATATAAACTAAAGTAAACAAATATAAACTAATATAAACAAATATAAACTAAAGTAAACAAAGATAAACAAATATAAACTAAAGTAAACAAATATAAACAAATATAAACTAAAGTAAACAAATATAAACTAAAGTAAACAAATATAAACAAATATAAACTAATATAAACAAATATAAACTAAAGTAAACAAATATAAACTAAAGTAAACAAATATAAACAAATATAAACTAAAGTAAACAAATATAAACTAATATAAACAAATATAAACTAAAGTAAACAAATATAAACAAATATAAACTAAAGTAAACAAATATAAACTAAAGTAAACAAATATAAA